TGCTGGATTCATGAGCAGCTTGCTGGCCCAAGTCAGCAGGGAGAGTTGATGCTTATCAACCCTGCCATATGAGTCGATATTTCCTGTGCCCTGGGGCTGCACAAGCTTAATCAAGAAAAAATAAGGGAGCATATTACATGTCAAAATTCCCTCATTAAATAAACATTATATATTTTTAAAGTAACTATCATGGCATTATAAATTATGAGTTTAGTACTAATGAAATTCAAATTGTAACAAATAGCAGATTTTATTGAATTTTATCATTCATTATTCAATTTTGAGTAATGATGGATTCTGTGCATTTAGAACTTTGCTTACAGAGATTTGATCCTTCAATGTGAAGAGCTGGTTGTTCTTGGTGAGAAAAAGTTTGTCAAAAAATTATGTACTGCATTTTTTTTCATAGTCATCTTTGTAGGTACCTTTAATTTAGCTGGTCAGTTAAATAAATGGTGAGATTTGGGATTATAGTCCTGAACATAAACTTAATGAATCATTACTAAATATAATTATAGATTTTTAACCACACACATTTGCTATTTCAGAAATACTTGTATTCAGAAGCGTAAACTTATTGCCCCGTTGCCGCCAATACCCGATACACTTGCAATTTTGTTTTGTTTTTACAAATGCATTCTGAGTCTGTGGCTTATCCTATTCAGTGCCCTAAATTTGAAAAATCTTTACCTTCCAAGGATGTGTTAAAATTTTTGCAAAACACAGCAGTCAATGGATATCTACATTTAAGCAATGCGAGGTATCAGCTGTTACTAATAATATGCATCATGTAATATATATTTTATTTATATATTAAATACAGAGAAAAATACACATCTTATATTTATCTTTATATCTATATTTATCTATCTAACACAGCATATATCTTTGGTTTCAGATCTGTCAAAGCATATAAAACTAGGATTTTGAAATGAGAATCAGTTGTTGCACAAATTTATATGTAGAATTCATGAGCTATGGCAGTCTGTTTAGTTTCAATCTGATCTGGAAAGGAAACAGGACAAATAGGAACAGTTTTGAGCATGAATAATGTGACTACTCTATTCTTATTGGACGAACATTTACCTCAGCAGATAGACTATGCAGAAATTATACTTTTTGTTAATCTGGTATTCTGGTTGTAGTGCCCACTTTACTAGAGCAGTAGCACAATTCTTGGTTTCATGGATATGATAATATCCATGAGACACAACAGGCCATATCCAACAACGAATGTATCCAAAGGTCCCAGACAAGTGACACAATAAGGATGTCAAGAACTAGCAAAGCTTTGTGACTTCCTGAAATGATTCTGAGTGTGCAGTTACTCCTTATCCAAAACTAGACTGAGTTGATTTAGGTACCACACCACAGAGAAGCTTTTCTGGAATCTATTCAGTTCTCTTTCTTTCTTTCTTTCTTTCTTTCTTTCTTTCTTTCTTTCTTTCTTTCTTTCTTTTTAAGATTTTATTTATTTGTTTGAGAGACTGTGAGAGAGAATACAAGCAGGAGGAGCAGCAGAGGGAGAGGGAGAAGTAGGCTCCCCACTGATCAGGGAGCCCAATGCTGGGCTTTATCCCAGAACCCCACCAGGATCATGACCTGAGCAGAAGCTGGATGCTTAACTCACTGAGCCACTCAGGCACCCCTGGAGTCTATTCAATTTTGATGCCTTAGTAGGCATGCAGCCTTCACAAGATTATGTCACCAGTTCCCATTCTCTGGTACAAGGTCATTTAGTCAATCCTCATTTATTATTCAATAAATATTCCCAACTATGAAATGTAGGTGCATAGTCTAGTACACAGCCACCTCCCCAGTTCTCAATTTACTTTGGATCCAATATACATCTGTGAACTCCTTGAACTGCAAAGATGTTTCAACCAAGAGCCAACTTGTTAGGCTTTCCCTGAAGCTAAAGGAAAGACCAAGAACCAGCTGTTAACCCTTTCCTTCCAATATTGTAGTGAGGGATCACTGGTGTTGCTATCAATATTTTTTTTTCAGCTATCATTTTGCAACCATCTTTCCAGAACATGCATTCTTAAAATATAAGGAATCAGTTGAACTATTTTCAATTCCATCTCAACTTGTTTTATTGAAGTTTAATTTTAATAATTTCCATTTGAAAAGTTTCAATTCATTATAATTTTCTATTAACAGATTACAAATATAGTAACCCCAAAAAGAGATATGAGAAGATGGCATTAATTCTTTTTCTGCCTTATCAGAAGTAGAATTCTTTGAGCTGAATTATCTGTACAAATCTATACAAAGTGTCAAGTTTCATTTTAATATTTTCCCACAGCAGTTTCCACTTGCTCTCATAGGGCAGTGTTCCCCTAGATCTAATGTGGCACTACAAAGGACTTGAACATCAAAGCACGTAAACATGGACAAGATGGGTGAAATCAACATTAATGAAATCTTTGTGCATTCAGAAATGATCAAACAGTAAAAAACACATCCTATTAACCACTGTGTTATTACTTTTTTTTTTTTTTTCAAAAGAGAGCTTGTTCCTTAGGGAATAGTCCAAGTTCATTTATATGTTACCACATATTGATCAACACTTCATTATTCAGGTGGTATCATTTTGAACACATGTTTCATGTGTTCAAAAATATATGCCCACTATGTCCACAGCAATATCATATGCCTCTTAGAGAATGAAAAGTAACATGTGTTTCTGTCTCTGCTATCAAGAATTTTCTACATATCTCAGGTTCACATACTAATAGTTTTCTTGGGCATAAAAATGCTGTTATTAGAACAGAAAATACTCTTTTATATTATATTAATCAAAGGAAAAATTGTTTTATAAAGTTTATAAAAGACACTCATATACAGGAGAAAAATTTAAATATTTTATTGCCTCACGTTTCAGTCCTTTGGGAACTCATTATTTATTTGAAAGCATGGTGTTGTTACCCATCCAGGGAAATATATGTTTGAGAAAGTACACTGTTTTAAAAATAATGTGTACATCCATAGATAGTTTACCAGCAATATTTTCCTGTCTCCCAGATACTACTACAGCTTTTAAAACAAGCAATAAAACAGAAATTCTCCATTGTTAATCACAAGGCACTTCCCAAAGCAATGACATTTCAGAGTGGACCTAAGGAATAAATTGTCTCTCGGAGACTCGGGGGGATATGGGACTATGGGTAACAATTCTGTTTTGGTACAAACTCAAGTCAGTGAAAGTCATTTACCAGATTATTTACAGTGTAAAATTTAAAAAAAAAAGTAAGATTAGTTACCTTTACAGATTATCCAGTGATTTAATGAATTCTTTGATATTTTCTCAATGTTTCTTGATTATAAATACTATTTTTACAGTGATTCATTTCTAAGATTAAAAATCCTTGATTTAAGAATAATGATTAATTATCAGAAAAAAACAGCGTCTTCTAGGGGTGTATATTGAGTCATTTTCCTCAGTGTCTTACCACTGCGTGTTAGAATAAGTGTAAGCTCCTTACTAAGACATAAAAAGCCCTGCATGACCTGACCTTGACATTCTTTCTTACCTTGTGTTGGACCATTAGTCTGTTGTTTTTCATGCACCAGACTCAGTGTTTTCTGTTTTGTTTTGTTTTGTCTTGTTCTCAGTTCTTTACTAGTCAAACTCTTTCCTGCCTCTTGCTTAGGATCTGTTGTATCAGGTAACTTACTTTCCGAATATTGACCACCCCTCTCCAACATTTTGTCCTCTGGCAATTTTTAAATGGCTGGACTTTCTCCCCATTTAGGTTTCAGCTGAAATTTCACCACCTTCTTAGCCAGACTTTCCTGTATAAATTTCTGTTTTCTTGTTTTACTGCTTATCTCTAGGCTGTAAGTTCTAAAGACAAAACTTTACAACATTCTAACCTGTTCATAGTTTTATCTCTAGCTCCTACTATTTTAAGCACATTCTTGGCACAAAGAATGTATTTGTTGAATAAATTAATGTCATGAAGTATATTTTATAGGCAAAACCCATTATGAAGGTGAAGATAATTTTCAGAAACCCTTAACATTATATATGTTTATGTGTATAGTTCATATGCCTAATGTGAACTGATTGCACATTATTGCATGACATGTTTGATATCATATTTTTTCTTTTTTTAAAGATTTTATTTATTTATTTATTTATTTGACAGAGAGAGAGAGAGAGAGATCACAGGTAGGCAGAGAAGCAGGCAGAGGGGGAGGGGGAAGCAAGCCCCCTGCTGAACAGGGAGCCTGATAGGGGGCTCAATCCCAGGACCCTGGGATCATGGCCTGAGCTGAAGGCAGAGGCTTAACCCATTGAGCCACCCAGATGCCCCATATTTTTTCTTTGATATATCTTGTATCTATGATATCTCAAAATTTCTTATTATGTCCCTTAATCCAAAGAGTTATAATTCAAATAGAATCTCTGTTGCTCTTTTACATGAACATCTCTATTCAATGTTCCAATGCAATTATTTAAATTTTCTGCAGAGAATAAGATATGAACAGAACATTAATCTACAGGCAACATGGCTAATAGTCAATATGATTTTATGCTTGCCGAGTATGCAAGTATGTTGCACAATCCAAAAGAAAGATGTCATCAAAATATGTCTCCTACAACTAAGCGAAATCACTAATTCACAACAATATATTAGGCAACAATTAATTTGATTATATATGTTTTTTTCATTTGGAATCAGGGAATACCAGCTTAAAAACCAGACTGAAGTCCTAATTGTCTTCTCAGTTTATACCTTTCCTTACTATGTTTACCTTATTTTGCTAGCTGTATTTTGTATTTTTTAGGCAATTGTATATTTAAAGTTGGGATTTAATAATGCTTGCTCTATTTTCTTACATTTTTTTCATTTAATTTGCTCCTGGCAATGTTATTAGACTTTTAAATTTTCCTTGAGGTTATTAAATATTCTAAAATGTATTATAATTCAACTTTATTTGTTACTTTCTTTAAGTATATGGACATTCTAAGACCTACAAGGTGACATGGAAAATGTAGGTATCATTTCCCCCTTCTTCCATGTCATCCTTGTGCAGGGCCATGCTAATCTTCTCTGTATCATTCCAGTTTTAGTATATGTGCTGCTGAAGTGAGCACTTCTCCCCCTCTTTTGTCTCAGGTTGAAGTTTTCTCCAGGATCTTCAATTTTAAACAGTTATGTCCCACGCATTGTGGGTTGTTGTTTTTTTTTTTTTTTTTCTTTCAGAAGATTGATTATTGTACCATCAGCACTATATTCCTCACCCTGTCTTCAGAAGAGTCCTACCATCTGTGTGTTCCTTTCCAGAATATTTCCTCCAGGTTGACATCTCAATTTAGAATTTAGTTACGTGATTGAGCTTCACTGTGAACCAGACTGTGATTGTGGTCATAAATTTCTTTTCTCTGGAAGGCTGCCTCTCAAATGTTCATCAGTTACCGAGTAAAGCTAGTCAGTTCTATCTAGGTCTTGCCCATTAACCCTGAAAGCAGTATTCTAGAAAGATAAAATGAATTTAGACACACATGATAATTACATGTTAGCCTTTTTTGAGGTTATAAAAGTAATTTTAAAATTCTCTTATTTTTTCATAATGCTTTGTGAGACATGTAGTTTCCTTTTCATTTTAAAATTATTTCCTTTGTTTTTTATTTTTCCACGTTGCAATACTTAAAGATCTATATGAATAGGAAAAGAAACAACTTTATGAATATGAATGTGAACAATTCATCAAGTTAATTTTTTTCTTGAAAAACTATACATGCTCATTCAATAAATTATTATTAGAATTTTTGAGAAGATTCAAAACATTTAAGGGAATAAATTAAATATAGATAATTTAATGAAAACAAATATATTTTAATGTTTTTATTTCAAAAATCTATTTCTGCTGCAAAGCTTGATATATTTACATTTAGTCTGAATCCGTGACCCTTTAATAGCTTTTTGTTTATTATGCATTTTCACAGAATAGTAGGCAGAAAAACAAACAAAGAATGAAAACAACTGGTTTTGTACAAATATATATTTTTAAAATATTGAGCATTCTTTTAAAAATCAGATAATGTTTTAAAACATACTGAAGCAATACAACCACTAAGCAAGAACATAAAGCTGTCATAGAACAGCATTTCCTAGGATTTTATAAATATTCTCTGAAACTTAGAATTTTATAAATTAAAGAAAATATGATATGGCTGAGTAATATAAAATTAATGGATGAAATTGGAGAAATCTACTTTAGGCAGAAAGAAAAACTGCTGGGAATATATATAATAGAGAAGGCTGAGTTACACAATCTCACAAAAACATTTTGAAACGTAGGGGATGGGGCTGATGTTACATTTCACCTACATTACAAATTTCTTCAGGGCCAGCCCTGATCCTGAAATCAAGAATTGACTCTAATTATAAATCTTATTTAGACACAGCAAATGGTAACTACATTTGGTGTGATGTTGCATAGTTAATTGGGTTACCTACTCACAGTCACTGTGTAGGTTAATTGGAAACTACCCAATGGTAATCCCATTGGTTTCCTGGTCTGCTATGAGTGTCCAGGAAAACCTATTACACATTCTGGAAAAGGGAAAGAGAGGTGAAATTTCTGCAGGAGAATTATGATTCTCTGGGTCAGGAGCTGTGGGAGCCACTGTAAATCTGAAAGAGCCTTTTGTCATGGATCAGAAGCCAGCAAAGGCCCTGGGCCAAGCTTTGAGTACACAGAGCTTCTGCTCCAGGAGTTGGGAGCAGAATGGGTCCCTCACAATGGCCATAGCGAACACCAGGATCTGGTCTACGGGATTGTAACTGCTGAAGCTGCCAGTTTGGCACTGCTATGCTCTGATATCAGGAGGAGAAAGCCCTTCCAACCTTCCTGGCCTTCCAAGACCTACTGCCCGCCAGCTTTCTTTCTTCCCTGCCTTGGTCTGGCAGTTGCAATGGAACACAGGTCTCCAACGTGCTTCCTGTCTCTATGGAAACTGGCAAGCGGCACCAAACTGATGGCCATTCTCCACAGTGGCTGGGCAGAGGGGCGGCACAGAAGGTGGATACCAGGTGTTATACTCTATAAGACAAGCTGAATCCTGAAAGGATGGAGTCAAAGAAAAACAAATTATATGTGGTCACCTAGGAAAACGGAATACTTAAAGTTGTTCAGACAAACCTAAAAGCTGAAATGAAATCATGGGAAAATGGCTAGAGAATTCTATATTTGAAAGAACAGAGGGACATTCCAAAAGTGGAAACATTTTGCACTTAGTTATCAGTCTTAATTTTTCCTCCAATTTCCTTTCTCACATGATAGAGCATTTATTGCACTTCTCTTGAGAATTTTAAGCTTGCGTTAATAGCATTTGTGCTTTTCAATCCAATAGGCTTTAGTATGCAATGTGTGTTTCGGTACACACAACTACTGAGCCACAACTTTCACATTAGAAGGTTATTTGTTTAGAATGCCTTCTGTAATTTAGTGGAAGTAATAGCATGCTATGTGTGCATTTAGATATATTTTTAGACTCTAAGCAACAAGAATGATCGTGAACTTTCTAAGATTCAGGTTATTTGTATAAATCCCAAACCTGTTGATGGAACAGATGAGAGGGAGGGGGAAGGAAGGGAGACACAAAGCTAGGGGAACACCTAGAGAATAGTAAGCTTCCTTTGTATTTCATTTAGAAATGAATGCCTATTTCTGTCATTTCTTATATTTAAGGACCTGTAATAATACTGTGTATCTACTGATCCATTCGGCACCTCTGCTTTTCATGACCAAAATATGAGAACCTTAATGAGGCCAGTATTTTGCATTTAAAATGGGGTTCTTGAGAGGACAAAAAAAAAAATTAAAAACAAATCAAAGCATTACTTATGCCACTTGATTCAGATGCCAGTAACTCTATTGAATTAAAAAATTCTGTAGACTTAGTTGACAGTTTTCACTAAGCATAAATATATTCCCAAAGGAAGAATCAAAATATGTGGTATTGTTTATCTCATGAGAAGTTTATTCTTTCTCATGGAACAATCACATCTTAAATTCTTTCACACCTTGCTTTTATTTGTTCCGCTTCACTGTTGTTAAATCCAGTTCTTCCTCTGAGAAAGTTGTGCTCACTTTCAGGAAGAAAAATAATGAAGGTCCTCACTTCCTGTTAAATAGCCCACAAAAGTTGATCATTTACCCTAAAAAAACCACTGACTGTAACTCACTCCCTCTCAGATATGCAAAGACTCACCCTCTGCCTGTCTGTCTAGATATATCTCAGGTGATTATTGCCCTTAGTTAGTAAGCACTCATGCACAGCATGCACTGATCCACTGTTGCGGTCCACATTTAATCTTTAGTGCAGGAAGAGAGATGGAGAAAACCATCGCCTTCACTCATCGTTCATTCAGGAGATAGCAAGGCTTGAATGATGCCGTTTTTGGAAGCAGAGCCATGTTTTGGGATCAGTGTGCAAACATGCATTTTTGCTTGTCTGCTCTCTTTCAACAATACTGCTGGCTTCAAAGATCTCTCTTCACGTTTTGTTTATTGCTCCTCTACAGTGATGGCACATCATAGCTTGTCAGCAAGGTCGAGATAGCCATGATCTTAGAATTTGCTTCTTTATGTGCTGCGTGACAGTGTGTTGGGTTCTTGGTGGTTAGTCAGTGAAAGCATGCTTGAAATGTGGGAAGCAAGGACAGCTCTTCACTAACTGAGGTCAACAGGAGTCAAGACTCAGTTCACTTGATTTTGAATTTGGTAATTCATGATCCAGACAAGAAAAGGTTTGAACCATTTTTCCCTAAGCATATGAGAAATAGAAACATTAAAGGAATAATGGCAGCTTCTCTTCTGCTATTTAAAGACAGGGTCAGGAAAGCCATCTTTGCAGACTATTGAATAATTGTTCTTCATTAAAGTGTCTTTCACAGCAATAAATTAGCAAATTGTTTCCATATAACTACTGAAACTAGCCTAAATGGGTTTCAATCCCTGATGCTAGTTAGAAATAAACTTGGCAGTCTAAGAAAACTATCAGTTTAGCAGAGTGGGGGGGGGGGATCATTTGGAGGACTTTTATTGGAAGAATGATGAGTGGGAGGGGAAAAGGACTCTTGGAAAATGATTTGAGGATAAAAGGGAAAAGGAACTGAAGAAGCTCAAAATATGAAGAGAAGAACTTCAAAAATGGAGTTTTATTGCATTGGAAAGAGCTCATTGGCTTTCAGAAAAAAAGAAAAAAAAACTTTATTTATGCTAAATATATAGGTAAGAGCCCCAACAAGACACATCAAAGGTGATTTTCCAGTGGTGTGCTATATAAATGATTACCAACTGCCTCTCTGGGAGAAAAAAAAAAAAAAAAGACATTGACTTGAGCTGTTTGCCAATCTCTATAGTGAAAAGACTCTCACTGAGGTCCATTTGAAGCTCATGTCATTAAGCATGAAGTGGGAAAAGTTACATTCGGTTGACTCTCGTGAGCTGGTATGAGCCAGCTCTAGCACATCACAGCTTTTACTTGAATTTCAAATGTTCCTTCACTTATTAAAAATAGATGTAAAAGGTTGAAATGCATCTTTGAAATGTTTAACTCCAAACTCTATGCTTATTTTATAACAGTTACTCAGTCAGAATTAAGTTCACTTTCTTTCCCAAGCAGTTTTTTTTGGTTAAGTATGTGAGGTCTGAAGACAGGGTGGGAAGGTTCAGAACCTGGCCGCTGCACTTTCCAGCTGTGTGACTGTGGGCACATTATTTAAGCTCTCTTTGCATCAGTTCCAGCATTTTCAAGGTAGAAATGCTAACAAGATTGGCATGAAAAGTAAATCACTTATAAAAGAAATGCACTTAGAATAGTGCCTAGAATATTGTGAATGCTCAGGTAAGTTTAGTTGTATTTTTCATATATTTACCATTGGCTTAGTGATTGTGGAAGATGGGATAACAGAGGAAGAGTACTGTGAAAACTGGGGTGCCTAGATGGCTCAGTCAGTTGACTAGCTGACTCTTGGTTTCCACTCAGGTCATGATCTTAGGGTTGTGAGATCGAGTTCCTCATCAGGCTCGGTGCAGGAAGTCTAGAGGAGATTCTCTCCCTCACTCTCTCCCTCTGCCCCTACT